GTAGAACCCAGGGACTGGAGAACTGCTCGTGTAGCACCCTACCCTTCCATAAAATGGGTGACGAAACTGAATCTAGTATCCGTTACTGACCAATAAATATGAGGTCTATTACTGTATATATAGGTTTGCGGACATACCAGAATTTAAGAAGAGAATAAAAAATATGGAAACAAGATCCAGGCAAATTAACAATATGAATTTAGGAAACGTAGGTCTTGTCGATCTTTGAACAAGCACCAACAGTACTCTACACACACATAGCTTTTGAAAAGTTACATTTTTAGGAGGCATTTGATCAATTTCCTTATAAAGGATGAATTGTCAAATATTCATCCTAAGGCCTAAAGGGAAATATGTGCCTACTGGCTAATATTACTGGGTTGAAAACATTAAAGGGAACAGTTGTGAATGCTCAGATTAGGGTAATGCAATCAGTGAGGTACTACAGCCATCTGTTATAGGACCACTGCTCTAATTTTTATCTGTAAGCCAGAATCTGGTATACTTAGCAAACTAGTTGGCTTTTCAAACAATGAGGAGGACTAGCACACATTATAAAAATGATGACTGAAAAGATTTAAATACATTTTGAGCCTTAAAAAATACCAGATCTGGAAGTGCAGAGTATTACTTGCAGGTAGCTAAAGCACAAACTACAAATTCAGACAAAGAGAATGCTGAGCTTGAAGAGACCACATGTGAAACAGTTGCTAATTTTGACATTTACATCTCCTAGATAGCATGGGGAGTAATTTAAAAGGCAAACAAACTGATAGGAAATATTATGTAGTTAAAAGTATCCAATTTAATTCACAGGATGTGTTGTTAAAATTGGACAATGCACTGGCAAAATCAAGTGCAAGGTTGTGGTTTTGGACTCAGTCCAGAGAAGCATTAACAGATACATTTCAGAGTTTAACAGAATATCCTACATAACCTGAAGAAAAAAACTTTTTAGTCTTGGACACAGTAGACTGTGAGGAGGCTCAGTGAGGATTTTGTATACTAGAATAGTCTTCAACATGGACTTCAGAATATACTGTGAAACATACTAGTAGACAAATGGAAACTACAGGGGAATAAATTAAAAATCAAGAATAGGATTGTGGGGTTGTGGGAGTATGGAGTAGCTGTTGAAACCAAACCCCTGCTTTCTTTACAAAAAAGGTTTAGATGAGATACTACGAGCAATCAGCTTCTAACTACCAAACAGCTACGTTGCCAAACGGCCTTCTTGTGTTCATATCCTTTATGTCTTTATATCACTTTCAGACAAGTTAAAGGAATAGTCTCTCTAGACAAACACAAGAGACTACAGTGGCACTTGATACAAGACCTTTCTGGATGAGGTCCTTGAATCTATAATCTACTAGCAACCAAACGAGCTAAATGAACTAAAAGGACTCACATTTGTTCAGACCTTATGATGTTCAAAATTTATGAAGATCACACGGAGAGTAAAAGTGGTAAGAAAAAAAACTTAAGAAGATACTACTTATATTACCATAAAGCAAAAATCCTAAGGCAAAATTCCATTGTGTCAGGACCTCTGTCAAAGATCTAAAGGTGCACAGTGAAAGAAACACAGACCTTCAGGTCACAGTACACTAGTTAACAAAAAAAAACCTTGTAATCTCATGACAAAGCAAACTGCTGGCAATTTTCTCAAGTTCGAACGAAATTTCCATTTGACATAGTGTCAGTAATATCTGGAAATAAAGAATATTGCTGATGTTCTTTCTATTCAATTGAATGTACACTGACATCAAATCTTTTCTGCAGATTTGCTGAAGGAGAAGCGTCAGTAATGCAACTGCTTCACAGTTAATTTTTAATATGGACATCACATCTTTATACACCATCATCCCCCACAATGATGGTCTTACAGCCCTCAGGCACACGCTGGATAAACGCACAGTGCTTGATCCACCCACCCACACTCTTGTACGTCTTGTGGAATTGGTCCTCACACTGAATGCTTTCTCATTCAATAACCTTTTTTACCAACAGGTTAGTAGAGTTGCCATGGGCACCAGGATGGGACCCTGCTATGCCAATATTTTTGTCGTCTGGGTAGAAGAACTCTTCTTCGCTTCCTACACTGGCTTTCTCTCCGACCTCTACAAGCGAAACATCGCTGACTGCGTTGGTGCTGCCACATGCTCTAATGACCAATTAGAGCACTTCCTGCATCACTTCACCAACTTCCACCCATCCCTCAAATATACAGTTAACATATCTTCCACAACTCTTCCATTTCTAGACATAAACCTATCCATTAATCATCCGACTCTCTACTTCAGATTCACACAGATATCTCCTATATAGCTCATTTAACCCCAAACATACTAAATACTCTCTCCCTTTTTCACAGTTCCTTCAGCTCCGTCGACTTTGCAGGGACAACATGGATTTCCAGAACCAAGCACTCAAAATGTCTCTTTTTTCATCAACAGATGATACCCCACCCATTCTATCGACAGGGCCATCACCCGAGCCAAAAACAGCCCTCAGATCATCAACTCAATCAGGAACTCCTGGCCTCGTAATAGCATTCTTTTGATGCTTCCGTACCACCTTAACACACTTTCTAGTCCCAGGACCATTAATGATAACCTTTCCATTTTACAGGATGACCTCCCCCTCGGTACCCTCTTTTCTGACTGCCCCATCATCTCATATTGTCAACCACCTAATCTGCGTAACCTTCTTGTTCACAGCTCCCTTGACTGTTGTCAGCAATCACCCACACCAGGCACTTTCCCCTGCAACAGAGCTCGCTGCATCACCTGTAAATATATATCTAACACCACACACATTCAAGGCCCCTCAGGGCTATTCCGGAACAGTCAGATGACATCCTGTACCTCCAGCAACCTCATTTACTGCATCTCTTGCCGAAAATGCCCAGCTATCTACATTGGGGACACAGGAAAGAGACTGGGAGACCACTTCAGAGAACATGGTAGGGTTGTGAGGATCAAAGATTTCTCCAAGACCATAGTTTCTCATTTCACCACTGATGGCCATGATCACACTGATCTCTCCGTTTGTGTTCTCAAAGAAGGGTTTTTTAACCATATTGCAGGAAGACATCCAAAATCAAAATTATCCTGAAAGTAGGATCACTCCTTCCCCCTTCTCTCAACGACAGACTTGTTTCCTTCTAATCCTATTAATTTGCAGGTTTTGACTTCACATCTCCCTTCACCTCTCTCGACTTTTCAACCACCTGAGTGCCCACTCTGCCTTCCCCCTGCTCCCGCCTCCTCTACACTCCCGGCTTCTGTTCTCCTATGCTACATCAGCTGCTGACTTTCCTCTCTTTCTCACACCAAAGAAGGCTCCACAGCCAAAACATTGTGTTTCCTTTCTTCTCTTTTCTGCATGGAATAAACCTTAACTCGTTCCTTTTGCTTCACAACTAGCTGCCCAATGTATCCTGAGTACAGTGACACAAATGAGGCAGAAAACATTGAGGGAGAATCATGCTGCGATATGGAGCGATCTCTCCAGGTCACTGCTCACATTTTCTTTCCTCAGTACTGCTTCTCAGATTCCCTTATCTTGTGTATCTCCTTATTTGTCTTCTCTAGGATTGATTACTGCAACGCCTCGCTAGGTATCTGAGTAAACTTCAATATATCCAGAATTTGGCAGCCAGAATCCTGACTAGGTTTTGTGCAAGTGATCACATTATTCCTGTCAGGTTTTGTGTTGACTTCGAAATCCTCATGCTCACCTATAAGGCTCTAAATGGCTTGGGACCTCAGTACCTGTCTGAGCTACTATTATCCTACCCCCCACCTTGCAACCTTTGTTCATCTGACTCTGCTCTACTGTCCCAAGCTTGTCTACAGTCTATGGGTGACAGGGGCTTCTCCTGCTGTGCCCCAGAACTCTGGAATTCTGTCCCCAAGGAGACAGACTCCAAACCTTCTTCCTCAGAAAGGCTTTTACTTAATTGATGTTTGTGTCTGCCCCTTGCATCTTCTGCTGCACTCAAAATACTTTTACTTTTTCTAATACTTTAATATTTTTTATTGCACTCTCTTATCTCCTATCGTCGTTTTTTGTCTTACAGGAAAAGGCTTTGTGAAGCTACCTTTAAAAGCACTATATGAAATAAAGTTTATTATTGTTCATTTCTTTTTATCCAACTTCTTAAACTCATGCTTAATTGCACTAGTATTAATTGCATTTTTTAAACTGTTTAGTTCCGTCACTATTAAAAGAGTAACAAGATATTGATACTGTTTCCTCATCTAGTTTAATAACCTTTGACTCCTTTGTAAGTGTCCAAACAGCTTTTAACCTGCAGATGCTAGTTTTCTTACTTCTGTAAGGGTTCAAGTTTTATGGATATTGTGTTTTTTATCCGGGGAAAAGTAAGCGATCGAGAAAATGTAATGCTCGAAAGCAGTTCGTTCCTCTCCCATCTATACAGAGCGCCTCAGCTGAACACAAGCGCAGCAGAAATAACCACCGCGCACGTGGTCCCGAGCAGCGTGGTGTGCTGATGAGAGGGAGACAGGAAACACTCAATTTGTCTACAAGCGGGAAATGGGTCACTTTTACTTCAAACAAATTATCGCGTAATGTAGGAGACGACTAAATACAAAATGTCAAAATGTTAGAATCTGTGTACACAATTCTGACTATTAGAACAAAGGCAGCGAGCAGAGGCAGAGGCAAAGGCAGAGGGTAGGAATCTGCAGTCTACTCCATTATTTCGCGCTAAATTAAGAAGCTACAACTCAGTATAACAAATGTTTTTTGCTCTAATGCACTGATTCACAAGACAGCACAGTCATATTTAAATTCTGAAAAATACAATAAATAATAAGTTATTATTCAATGTTTTTTAACTTGATTAACATGTAGCTCCTCCCGTGCAGAATTAATTTATCAAGTTTTTACACGACTTGTATTGATTATAAACAGACATGATAATGTTACCAGATATTCTAGCATTTACATCAACAGAAAAGTCGCTTTACCTTCAGCCCGCTGCCCGCGCAGTCCTGCTCAGAACTCTGCTTCTGCCCAAGTGCTGGGAGCTACAGTACGTGCCTGAGTTTGTAAGAATGTCTGAGTTCCCCCTAGTGGAGATCACCCATATCGCCCACATGCACTCTCCGGACTCGCCAGTTTCACGGTACTTGGCATTGTTTTCCTTTATCTCTCGGTTCTACAGGCTGCTAACACTAGACAACAAGTCTGTAGAGTTGTTTTTTTGGGGGGAGGGGGCGTTATGGGGCATGGGGAAATTAAAGAATAAATAGTTGCCCTTCTCAATGTCAATGTCTCCATGTCAGGACATTACACTATTTGGGAAATTTCATTAGGACACCCATAGTGTCCTAATGGGAGAAAACTGAGCAGGTCGCAGGACTACCCGGACCTCTGTGTTGAATGTCATGACAAACACAACAGAGGTCAACAGAGGTGGAAGCAAAATTTAAGTTTTCCTGCCCCAATGTTGGCTTTAACCATGATCCCACTGACTGAGACCTGCAGCCCTGGTCCTCTGCTCTCCCTGCTCATTCCAATACCAGGGTTGCAGACTTCACTGGGGACAGAAGTCATTTAACCTCTCCCTTATTAGCTTCCTTTTCTAAGTAAAGTTCACTACAGCTTCAAATGTATTCCTTTCATCTTAAATGAAAAAGACATGCAATTCTATATAACATGTAGACATGCCGTTAGTACACTGCAGATTAATACTGATTTAAGTAGTTGTCAATTATCTTCATTTACTGAACCTGAGTACTGATCACAAGACTAACTTGTGATCTTGGTTTCAAAGTAATCTTCCCCCCAGCTTGGTCAAATCAATTTGCTGGGATAACAGCCCGTGTTCCCCACAAACATTCCAGAGCTATTGATTCCAGTGGGGCTTAAAGTCCTTCTTTTCACTGTCTGTGCTGAACATGAGAGAGTTTTCATTACACAGGCTTACTCTAATGCTATAATTTGACATTTTTCAATACATGACTTTTATTTTTTCTTCCAAATTTGAGATATCATAATACAACTGCTGCAATACTGAGGTGGAAGCGACAGAGGAACATTAAAGGCACAAGAGTGCACATTTCCTTGTCACTTCAGAGCCTTTTTATTTCAATTTTCTCCTACCCTAGAAGTACTAGAATCTAATCCAAAACATAGTCCTGTTGTATGTTTCTTTTGCAAGGCAGTTATAAAAGGCACCATAAGAACAATTAACAATGTATAACTATGGTGTCTCCTTTTTGTTTCTGTTGGTTTTCAGTACAATTTCTATTTTTCATGTATCAGGCTTTACTAAAGTCATGAACGTTAGTATTTCTGTAAGAATATATTGTTTTTTTTTCTTTTTCAGGCACAACAAGGATGGCCAAGAGATGGCAAACCAAAACTCCTGCAAGTGTTCTTGGGAAAAATTAGGGTTTTCTATGACAGCACTGTTCAATGTGGCACATCTATACAGTAATGAAGAATGTTTGCTGAATGTGTTATCTTTTGTCTTAATCTGTGGCAAGTATGAGAATATTTCCACTGGACACCAGAGAGCACTTCACTTTCTCCTATTGTCAACTTTTCCTGCTCTGTGTAAGTGATTTGTTTAAATAATGGCATTTGGCTATTTCACTTGAACTGACTAAAAAAATCATTACAATCGTCTTGTAGTTTTGTCTTATAAATACCTTCAAATATCCAAAATGTGGGATACTTAAGACAACACAGTCAGGTGTGAACCATATAATGGAGCAAAATACTTTTGATAGTCATTCTTCACCACACGACTGTCCTCCTGGAGCTGAAGAGAACAGTGAAAACAAGATGAACCTTATTCCGACAGGAAGGAGCACAAGAACACTGATCATACCTCCAAGAGGAAAAGAACTACAGTACAGTATGTACTGTACGAGCAAACCTCACATGAATTTAAAAAAAAAGTGAAAATTGAATTTTACTGGACTCTTTTCATGTGTGAGATATAGAAACATCTTGTTTACTTTATGTCTGTGGATATGGTTATACACCAGAATCCATCCCACAAGCACATGGAATTTTAGTTGGGAGTTTCAAATGATCCTACTGCCGACTAATGTGTTTTTTCAAACACATGGGTGATGCTTCACAATGGGACATATTTGCTGCGGACTCCTGTATTAATTGCAAGAGACCTTCATCCAGTGTCCAGGACTGGTCTAGAGGCTTTTCTCTACAGATCTTTTTAATCACCTTGCTTTTAGGATAACTGGTTATATTACAGAATGGATCCTATGGCAGAATGAAAAAGCCTTCTTTTTGCCTCATTGCACTAAAGCAGCAGACAGATATTATAATGTACTGAATTTACCAAGTGTCATTGTTAATTTATTAGATTAGACTTGAATAAAAAGTGGAATTTAGTGCAGCCCCTGATCTGATAGAACAAAACCAAGTGCAGCCAAGGACAAGTAAGGTCACACAGTGGGGGTCAGTGGCTGTGGACATTAATCACAATCACAGACACAAGCATATACTGTATATCATGACAACATTTTAAATGCACAGTGTGCACCTTTCTGCAGTAATAAACTTGATGTTGCCCTTTGTTTTCTGTAATAAAAGTGCATGCATAATTTTTTTCTCATGTTATGAAAATTGAAAACATATGTTTAAAAAGTAAAACCTGATGACTAAGAGGACTTATTCAGTGCAAGAGCATATTGGTAAAATCTATAATCAACACAAACAACTGGGTTTTTCACCACTCATGAAGCTCATTTTCGATTTTTTTTATGTATGGACAGTAGTATTAAAAGTCTGTTAGGTTTATGTTTTGGGAGTTATGAAACTTGACACTAAATCAAATTTAAACAAGAAAAACACATCACAAGCCATTTAAAAAAGGCGCTTACTATTTTTTCATCATTTTGCCCCAAATTTTAGAACTTCTATAACTTGCATGTTATACTTTATGGGTATAAGTAAATATAATCCTTGAAAGATCTTACCTAGGCATTTAAAGAAATGGATATAGTTCTAGTTTTATATAGCATGATGTAAAACTGGAACACTTAAAAACATGGTGTCCCTGTAGATGTTTTTCTTGAGTTGTGGTTTTTGGTTATGAAGAAAGAAAATGCATTTTATTTTGTCACAGGATAAACAGTTATGCTTATTCATTCATCCACGCCCTGTCTAGTCCTAAAATAAGTCTTCTGTGGTTTTAAATTACATGGCACCTACAGTCTGTATCCACAGCCCTCAAGGAATGCCGCACATAAAGAAAGCTTGGAAAGATTGTTTCTGTTGCTTATAAAAAGGGACATTAAAGCCATCCACATGTATTTTCTTTAAAACACTATGAATTAAAGACATTTGGATTAAAGAAAATGTTTTATACAGTTTTTTATTATATCAAGTACAATAAATCCCTTATACAGTTAACATTTACACGGTACTCAAGAGCAAACAATAATTCCTTGTTTAATTTGATTGGACAAAACTAGAAACCTATGAACAGTATTTTGCTATTAATCCATTCATTTTATAAGTGCTTCTTCCAAATCAGATCACGTGGAAGCCAGAGCCTAAAACAGTATGCAAGGAACGGCATATCTGGATGGGATGCCAGACCCACAGACACACACATTCACACCTGGACCAAATTTCCCAGAAACTTACCAGGACGAAACCCATGTGAATACAGGGAGAACATACAAAGTCCATGTAAATAGCACCCCAAAAATCAAAACCAGGGCATTGCTAACCACTGCGCCACAGTTTTACCTTAGTATTCTGACAGGATTGTGATAAATTGTAGCCACGAGATATGGAAAGCTCCAGAATGAACTTTAACCTCTTTAACCTATGTAGCAGCAGCATGGAACTACTGTTCCCTGTGCAAGACAAGTTCATTGTTACAGTATTGAAATGATAATGTTTAATACTTTTCCTTGCATTCCAATCAAAATAAGATAAAAAAGCCTCAGTTACAGTAACTGTATGAAGTTAACCAGCTCTTCCCCAAAGAATTATTTAGGTTGAATTATGTTTAAGATTTTCCACATGGTACTTTTACAGTTTAATTGAATGTTTTGGCCAGGACGCTGGGGTTACACCCCTACTCTTTTCGAGAAATGCCCTTGCATTTTTAATGACCACAGGAGTCAGGACCTCAGTTTTATGTCTCATCCAAAGGTCGGCACCTGTTTACAGTATAGTGTCCCCGTCATTATACTGGGGCATTAGGACCGACATGGGCCACAGGGTGAGCGCCCCCTGTTGGCCCCACTAACACCTCTTCCAGCAGCAACTTTAGTTTTTCCCTGGAGGTCTCCCATCCAGGTACTGACCAGGCTCACCTGCTTAGCTTCAGTGGGTTGCCAGTTGTGAGTTGCAGAGTGATATGGCTGCTGGCAATAAATTATTAAAGGCTTTCTCTGCTGATCAGTGCTCCTACAGTACATTGAGCTACCAAAGCAAATTATCTTACATCTAGCCAAAAGTTAAAGTCTTATTTTCCTAAGCTCTTAAGAACATTGATCCAGCAGGTGCTCGGCTTCATCCTGGCTAGCAATTGCTCCCGAAGACTCAATCCACTGATCTCCTTCTTTTTTAGCTGTCTTTGCTGTCATTTTTCCCAATACACCTCCCTTTCAGCTTTCCACTGCCACTAGCCAGGCAACGTTTTTGCCGCTGGACTTCAGCCTAATTTTCCAGACAGCCCTCACCCAGCTATCTCATTATCCCTGTCACCTCCTTCATTCAGCCTGCTGCTTCCTCTCTTCCTTTTATAAGAACATGTAGCCACACTCTTTCTCAGCCTCTCCAGAAACGCTCAAAAAAGCCTGAGTCCGAAGAGCTGTTCTTCAGCGGCTGCAACATTTCCTATTAATACCGATAAGTATTAAATTATTTTCCAAATTGACAATTAAACTTTTATGCCCTTAATTATTAGTAAATCCCTTACCTTCACTGGAAAATCAGACTATGATCATAGCAATGTTAAACCATTGCTAGAAAGTTGAAAGCCCTTTTCCTAAAATGCATTTTAACTAAATTCCCATTTAACTATGCATTTTAACCAGCATTTTAACTATGAAATTCTGTAACTT